CCTGTGCCTTGTTAACAATTTGTGACGCACCCATGGTATTCGGCGTTTGTTCGCGTACATGACTTTTAACTGAGTTTAACTTGCCAATCTATTCGTAAACTGTGTTCATCCCTCGCTGTACAACACCTAACGTTCTTGCCCTGTGCTGATCCCAGGAAAGAATTGCTCAAATCGCTAAACGTCATCATCGGGCCACTATCGCACACCCTCCAGGCCAGTATCACGTACAGTCTGCTCGTTTGGGCTTTCAAACTCGATCACTTCGAGTCCCGCTCCGTCCACACACAGCTCTGAACATTCGAGCCACCCAATCCGAACGTCGTTCCGTTGTCGCTTTCGGATCTACCACACCACGCACGGTCTGTTTTACCAGTCGTGAACTGCAGGCGATGCATCAGATGAACAGTAACAGCGTGCATGTGGATCAACGATCCACCTTGGACTACCTGTCAGACACGAATTCATGCAGCCTGTCCACTTTCGACTCCTATCGGTCGCGGAAACGTCAAAATCCGATTCCCGGTCAATCCACTGGTCAATTTATGTTAAAAGATAATCCGAAAATGATCCGTTCATCCTACAGTCGGTCACCTCAAAGTGCGCACTATTTATCCAATGTGACAGAATTCAATGGCAATGCAATCAGGACCGGACCAGTCATGAGTCGTATGAATCGTATTTCAGGTGAGTATGGTAAAACATTTTTGTCCACCGAAAGTTTTTTTTGAAACAAACAAACAAATAAAGAAACAATCCAATTGAAAGTCGATCAAGGTCTGTGTCATTTCTATTTCCTCTATTGAGTCAATAAGTTATAAAAAAGTTCGAAATCTAAAAGCGGTGTGCTTCCTGAAGAATAAAGGTTTTCACGGGTCGTCCTTCAGATTTCACCGTCACATACGAGCTTCACTTTACCCAAACTTGCATAGAAGGTCCGATCTGAGGTGGTGAAAGAGAGTGGTCTATTAGATTTAAAAAACAGCGTATTATTTCATTAATCAGTACTGTTGGGTTTAACTGTCGGTGGAAGAAATCGGAGCAAACTTGCATGTACAATCGTGGTCAGCTTCAATATGAGCTGACTGGAGCATTGGTATTACACGCGTCTTCCAAACTGGGATGCCGGAATTAGAGTCCCTGATAGATCGGTAAATATGCACTATTGATAAGATATAACGAGAGCAAAGTTCGAGTGTAGTATAGTGCCTCACAAATGTACCATTAACAGGATTTACTGAGTATAGTATGATGAGGTACAGAATATTTGGTAGTCGGAATTACCTAAATTTATATCGCACTACTCACTGTGAGTGAAATAGAGACTTATAGTGATTCTCGTAATCTGTGACTGGGTGGTCGCGTAATCAGCACGCGCAGCACCTTCACACTCACTTCAAGCATTCACATTGCCCCGTTTACAATCATACTCCGCACGGGTTTAGTGTCACTGTGCACATCGAGTACGCAGCGCTGTAAAGGTGCAACCACAACCGTTCGCAAGCTGTGGAAAGTTTTGTAGTCTCAACAGTAGATAAAATCGAACTGCACAAAACACTGATACCGATGATTTTACTGGTTCATTTCGTTTACAAAGTTGTCAGTGAACGAAGGGAATAATGGATCGAGCAGTAGCAGGACCAAACCATCGTATCAATCGGATCCCTGTGAGTTGCGTCTCCCGGGAATCTGTTAGCGGCCGGAAGGGAAGCAACACCAAAAGTTGTCTGTTCATTGTACCGGTATATGCACCGATCACGATACACGAAAGGTCGATTTCTACGACAAACCCAATCGGACTCATTTGGTTAAATTGAAGATCCGATATAGTTGTACTGGCTGGTGTTTTTTGAACGCCAGTTAAGATAACGGAGATTAACTTCTTCAGTTCTGCACAGACCACTCTTCTGTTCCAACCCGGTACCAGATATCGACTGATTTCAACGTGGTGCTCCAATTCAACTGGTACGCTAACTCAAGTCGATCACATTGCAATAGGCTACCACTGGTTTGGTTCAGTGCAAAAATTGCGGGTTCTATCTGGCCACTTATATCGAGTCTGACCGCGAATTGATTTTGATGCAGTTCAATCTCCGACTCAATGGACGCTGTTAAAGTCAGAAAATCCGGTTAGATTATTTGTCCTATTTGTCCCAGCAGTACGTGCACGCGATGAGTCCTAGCTAGTTTGAGCGAAACGCGGTGGTATAGATGAAATGGATGTAGCGGCTTCTTCAGGGAATAATCAAAAGCTGTTCCAACTTATACGCAACAAGAGAGGTCGGTGAACTCCAGTTGGTGAAATGATCTGCAATAAAAGGGGTAAGCTCTTCACAATAGGGAACAAGGGCTTGATCGGTGAGCGGAGTACTCCAGTGAACCGTGCAGCTAGCCTGGCATTAGCCAGCTTCCGACGTTCTTTGACATCCCACTCCTTTAAAAGGGATCAACATCCGTGACCAGCAAGCTGAATTCCGGCCTGATCGTGGATTTATTCATCAAATTCTTACGTTGCGTCAAGTCTTTGAGCAGCGTTACACCGGCCATGGACCAACAATCACAGTGTTCTTTGAGCTAAAAGAAACCTTCAACCCCGTTGATTACGAAGCTCTACTAGGTTCCTTTCTTCAAAAAGAAATGTCCAGAATTACGTTCGTTGACTTACTGAGGTCACTTTAATCTCGTTGAGTAAGGGTTTACTACGAACTAAGTAGGTCGTTCGTCAAGGGTGCCCTATTTCACCATTCACGTTCCATCTCGTCGCAGACGAAAGTCTGGAGAACACACTAGGTGTTCTCCAAAACATAGGTAATAAACGGGCAGCTGGAGAAAAGCTGTACTACTTAAAGTACGTCGATGGCATCGTCGTCTGTCTTTTCGAATGTTTGGCGGATGCGAAAAGTCCACTTGATAGACCAACACGTGCAGTTGCCATATCCGGTATTTTTTTTATTACACGAAAGTGAATACAGTAAAAGGGGTAAACCCCATGATCTGAAAATATATTGTAAGTGGGAAGCTGTGGGGAACATTCAAGCTAGAACCGGCTTGTTGATTCTGCGTTTAAAAATATGGATGTTGTATGTTGGAGGGAAGACCGAA